TACATTTATAGTACCACAATACTACATTGGTTAGTTTTTCATAAAACTTTTGGCTAAAGATTTTTCTTAAAGTTTTAAACACAAAATATAAGTGACAAAATGATTACAACATTGAATGTTAACTGGTAAATGTTCAGCAGCAATGATATAAAATGAATTCACTGGCAACAAATATTCAGAAGTACAATGTATAAAAGTTGTAAAAATATTTGTATAAAAGCAAAAGTTTCATCAAATTATTGTTTTCACAAAATGCAACATTTCACCGTAAAAATTCAAAATTCTTATATATACCGGTATCATAAAATTAATCATATTTCTGAAAATCATGTTTTAGTTAATTTGATCCCACCCTGATCTGATTGAGTAAATAAGTCTTTTTCTCTATTATTTCTGTCAATGCGCTATAAACCACTTTGACGTTGTATCCATAGTTTATATTGTAGACAGAAAACATTTACGATCACGATGAAAAAGGATAAAATCAGTGAGATAATTCCTGAAATAATGAATCGTTGAAGCAAGCTAGTTAGTTTTCAATCACCAAAAATCACACATAAATTTCATTCTTGTAATCACTCATGACAATGCTTCTAAATTTGATTTCAGTATTCAATTAGATACGATTTTTCATGAACCTGTCAAAATCCAAAACCTTACTTACAGGGATTAGTAAAAGGTTTTTTACAGATAAAATGCATGAGAATGCAACTTTAAATTCACAATAAACAAATTAATTAACATAAATTTCAATTCGAGAATTGAGAATTTCACCAGAGTCCTTTATTATTAAAATGGCATTTAAAAATGACTTGCAAAATTTTGTCTCTGCAAGTAGATTCAAATCTTGGAATCGTGATAATTTTTATTGCCAGAAAATTACTGTATATCAAACAGACATGATTTTATGTTTTATGTAACTGCAGAAGTCAAAAAGAGTTGTAGTTTTGTTTTTCCATCGACATAGTTGTTAATGCCCTCTTATTGATCCAGAGAACGTTATCTGATAATTAACCTGGTAATTAAATATTCAGTGAACAGTACAGAAAGATGAGGGTAAATATATGGGGGAGAGGGGGGGGTAACTGTCATGTGATAAATAACTTCAACTCATCATTTCAGTGAGTCAATTTAAAATCAGCAGTATTTTAAAAATTTGACAAGTAAGCAAATTTTCTCAGTCATTTGCGCCAAAAGTTTAGTGTAATTGATATATTTCCTTACATACGTCCTTTTTTAATTTAGGAAACATGCACCAATTTTATCATTAATAAAGAATATCACAAAGCACCATTTAGTAAGTTAAATCCAATAGAGGGTTACACCACTACATGCCTCCCCTTTTTAAAAAACATAAATAGATTGAACCTTATTCATTGATTGGTAGTTTTATTTGCATATTTTGAAGAACTGACACACCTCTGTATTGGAAGACGAAGGGGTATAAGAATCAGCAAATCACAGACTTAAATACTGTAAATGAAAAACCAACCCAACCAGCAGTATTGCTCACAGTTTGCTAACAAAGTAGCAATATTAGCTTAACATTATAAACTATAATATTTAAACAATATTATTATTTTGTTTGCAAAACAGTGATGTATATTGCAAATGCATCATCTTGTAGAAGCTATCAGAATATTCACAAATTTCAAAAAAATACTTGTTTCTTACCAGCCATTCAAATATCAAAAACATTGTCAGCCATCTTTTCACTGTTGCCATGTTGTCAGCCATCTTTTCACTGTTGCCATGTTGTCAGCCATCTTTTCACTGTTGCCATGTTGTCAGCCATCTTTTCACTGTTGCCATAGTATCATGACAACAATTGTTGCTAAGGACTGAAATATATTCTTCCAGACATGTACTACAACTGATAAATAACTTTCACAATAAAAGTACCTACTTTATGCCCTTATGGTACAAAAAAAAACACAACTCCAATAAAAATAGTGATGAAAATGAATTTTCACTCTAATTCATGAACCTGACAATCTTGGCAGCAAATTTGTCACCATTCAGTTATCACTATAGAGGAAATGTGATACCTCTCAGATTATTGACAAAATAATATCATGTAAGTCAATTTATACGCTACCATCCATTCAAATTCTCAGACTTTTGAACAATTTATAGTCACTATATACACCATCTCAGAAATGAAATCTGCTTGAACGTAAGAAATGTAAGGACGCAGTAGTTTCAGTATTTATTGTCTCTTCACTATGCATCACTCTGTCCTGGTATGCCCATCCCGAGAGGATCAAATTTGCTTTCAACAATATTCACTCTACGATTCATAGCAATCGCTGGCAATTTCGGCACTGTGGATTTATTGTCTGTCATATCGCTGTCGCCGTTCAGTCGCGATGGTTTATTGTTTATTGTGGTAAGTATAAATTCTGTTTGTAAATCTTCGGCACTACCGAATGCTTCTTGACTTTGAAGGGTTGGACCATGAAATGTCTGAGCAGATTTCACTCTTTTCTTTCTCCTTGTTCTGGGTCTGCTCTTTTGTCCGCTGCGTTCTCGGTTTGGTTTGTACTCTGGTAACAGACCTGTTTCTGCATCGTTTTCAGGAGTTGCTAGTCTGCTTTCATATGGTTCTGTATAGAGGAAGCAATTACATCAGTTCAACCAAAAATTTTCAGTAACTTATAACAATGAATAAGATGACATATAAACTTCAATTTGTTTTCCTTTGAAGGGCATTACATTTGTAAAATGTACAAATTATCATCATGTTTTATGAATATTATCTTCAAAAATAAAATGTCAAGGGAACTGATAATCAGAATCTGTCATACGCATTCAAATTTTTGGTAAGAATTCACAATCTTATCACAATGAAATTAAATGAATAACACACGATGAGACATAGGTTTGATATAGTAAACCCCAACACTCCCTGATCCCGACTCTGACCCCTTGACCCCAAGAAAATGCCATACCTGGAGTTGGTGTAGTAGATGTTGAAGAAGACGGTGGTAAGATAGTTGCACCTCGTCTTGTTAACATCCTTGTTGGCACGTTAGTCCATTGAGATGAACTATCGGTAGATGTACAAGATTTATTTAATTCCAAACTCATACCTATGAATACGAAACAAAAAAAATATAATAATCAGATTTATTTTTATTATTTATTAGGATACCAGTATACTGTAAAACATGTCTTTTTTGTGAGCATGTCTTTTTAGCAAATTTAGCGAGAGAACTAATTCGTTCATTTAAGATGTCGCCGATGACTTCATTATAAATTCAAAATGGTGACCAAACAACGTTTTTTTCTCCACACACACTTTGTAAACAACACAGGAAATGTAATAATCTGGAGTACTTCCTTATTACACTTGACAGTTTTTCTTTGTTTTTATGGAGGTGATACCTGCGCATTTGTTTTGGCAGGCGACAGACAAGTATTGTGAAAACAGGAAATCAACAAAGACAAGAGCGATTCGCTAAATCAACATTTCGCTATTACATCATTTTACCACAATTCACTAAAATAGTATGTCGCTTTTTCAACATGTTTTACAGTATCAAATGAGGGCGCTGTCACACAAAGTAATTTTCAATGAAAAACTAAAGGGCAAGCAAGCAAATGCAAATTTGTTAATATGTAAATTATTCTTACCCAAGGGGTCATCATGTGACACTGTCTCAAAACTGATTGATATTTTCTCATCATCACTATTGTTACTATCAGCAGCACCTCTCTGCATTCTGCGAACAAACGCTTTAGCAATCATTCGACTTTTCTTCACTCTCTGGGGTTCATTGATTGGTTGATTTGTAATTCTGTAAAAAAAATGACATTATTATAAATTTTTTTCTTCTTTTTCTATTTTTAAATATTGCAAGCACCAGGGGTTCTCGTTGCCGATATACGAGATTCAAAGTACGTGCTTCGTCGCCTTCAATAGAAACTTACTTGCGCCATGTTCTATGCCATATTTGTAATGTAGATGATGTCCATACCCATGTACTCATTACGATACCGGCACCAAATACAGATGACAGATGAATCAGCACAATTACTAGACTTGGTCTTGGACTGATTGAACATGTGATCGGTTCAATATTCAATTCTTTGTATATTGTTACATTAGCCTCACATCTGAACAAAGCAATAACAGAACTTAGTAAATTATAGATGTCATGAGCACAGTATGTGATTCTCAAGTAAAAACATATTTTCATAAATTTTAGGAGTCAGGAAAAAACCTTAAAATTATTAGGCATTGAACATTTGAACAGTTGAAT